AAATATACAACAAACCAGCAAGCATGTGTGTGTATGTGTGAGTGACAGACAAAGGAGGGGAGCGACTAAGAGGGGGTGGATCCGACCACGTGGGTGGTCGCAGATCTGGTTCAGGGGCTAGAGGCCGGCTGATTTTGGAATCAAGATGGCAGTTCAGACCATGTGATTTCAAGACTGAGATGGTGGAAAATCACTACCTTGAACTACCAAAATTAAAGACGCACTCTGACTCTAGCCTGCTGTGGGTCACAGGTCTGGTTAGCTTCAGATATCACATGGTGTGTGCATGTGGGGTAGGTAAGCAGAAGGAGGAGAGAAAGGCATAGAGAAAGCTATATACTTACAATATACCACAACCAGCCATGAATGTTCATTCAGCAGCGGTTGCTGGCTTTGGATTGGATAGAATCTGTTCTCAGACAACAGAAGCCAACACCAAAAATCCTTACTACTGTTGCAAACACTCAGCTACAACTTTATCAATGAGAGGGACGGTAGTGAACTTGCATTCAGCAACCGTGTTCCTTGGCTTGATAAAAATACTGATACATTTTCACAGTAATAGGAACAAAGCAGTCACAGCCAGAAGCAAACAATGTGCGTAGCACAGGGAACACACAGCCTCTTTAAATATCCCTTAGAGTTTCTTAACAGAAATTCACCACATGAAGCTTGTACAAGTAAGTTACAATAACAAATTTATAGAACTATCTGCTTCCCAGACATACTAAAGCCTCTTACGTGTCGCTTTGGTAGCGAGTAGGTGCGTCAGTCCTTTTAGGAAATCCAGCGGAGTCGCTCGGTTCTGACGATGCTGGAAGTTTCAATGGCACAGCTGATTCTTTGGCGGCAGCAATAGGAATCCGTGAAGTCGACGTAGGTTGAGAAGGTAGAACACAGAGGTGATCTTTTCACTTAAGCACGGAGTTTATATTAGTCTTTTTCTGCAGGAATGAAATGTTATTTTGTATATAACAGTTTCCTAAGGGATCCTAAATTGTGTTGGTAAAAAATAATAGCGGTAGAAAAAAAGAAGAAAACTGAGTGCTCATCCGGCGAGTGAAGTCTGTATTCAGGAACAAAGAAAGCGCTGAGAAAGTTATGTCTCCTATCACCGCTTGCGCAGTTGTGGAAAAGACAATGTGCTGGCTGTGCGCTGGCTGTGTTACGGTGCGACCTGCAAGATTACAAGCGCAGCCAATAGTGGCTTTGTAGGTCTGAGTCACTATTTCGCACCTAGGTGTGAAACGGGCTTTGGCGCCTGTTTTACTTTCCTTTGTTTGAAATAACTCCAATTCAGGCCTTTGGGAATTCTACAGGCTGGGGTCAGGCCTGCAGGATGTCAGAAGGCCCAGTTTTTGTTCTACCAGACTGTGAGGCCCAACATAAATAAATGTAGAAATATATAAATATGGAATTGACAATGCAAGTTATATAAGAATATTAAAAATAATAGATAAAATTAATACAACTATTTGCAGAGAAAGAACAACGTCTCAGATATTTACATGTGCATTATTCTGGGTTTGTGTTGTGCAGACGTATTGCAACGGAAGGGAATATTGTGTACATAAATATATAAATTGACAATACAAAAATATACAACAACAAAGATGAACATTTAACAACAAATATGTGCAATGTGCCAGGTTTGTGCATGATATATAATGAAATAGTGTTTACATTTGTATTATTTGCAAGGGGGGAGTGTCAGTGGGGGACCCAGGCCTTGTTGATGAGGCTTGCTGCAGATGGGAAGAAGCTGCTTTTGTGGCGAGAGGTTTTGGTCCTGAATGACCGCAGAGCCGCAGAAAACTGTAAAAGGGAGAAGGGTAAAGAAGAGCAGGAGGATACAGGGTCATGTCTATTTGTGCGTATGTTGTTCTTGTTATCTGACTGGTTAGTCCTTGAGTTTGGGTTTTACACCTTGATATAAATCCTCTACAGATACTCTATTTGTTGAAATGTTTCTGTGTCACATGTTCCCCTTTTAAGCCTGTAGAGGGAGGTCTATGCAAATTCTTCCTCTCTTATAAACACACCATCAGCAACTTGTGGCAGAACACTGGGACAGTTTTATATATTTCTGAAACACTCAGATCAGAGAGCTGAACTACAGTGTTTATCATAGAATGGGGAATACAATTATCTGGAGTTTATTATTTGTAGTCACTATTCATGGTGAGAAAATAATTTTGGATTTCGGCTTTACTTCTTTTGTAAAAGTCCAACCTGTGATTTACAAGTTTATTGGATAATGATCATTATTTCTTTGCTTACAGGAGTTTGGAGTGAGACCATGGACCAGTCTCCCTCTGAGGTGAAAAGACCTGGAGAGACAGTGAAGATGTCGTGTATCATATCTGGGTTTGACATGACAAGCTACTATATTCACTGGGTACGACAGAGGCCAGGGAAAGCTCTGGAGTGGATTGGGAGGATGAATGCAGGTTCAAACTCTGCTAGCTATGCCAGCTCCTTTCAAAGCCGTTTCATCATGACTGAAAATGTGCCCAGCAGCACTCAGTACCTCCAGGTCAAGAGCCTGACAGCAGAAGATTCTGCTGTTTACTTCTGTGCTCGAGAAAGCACAGTGACTGAAGACAGTGGAGCAGCTGCACAAAAACCTCCACAGTCAACAAACAGTATTCATTGATTGTCCCCTTTTTTGCATTACTGCTGATTAAATTCTCTGTATTAGCATGGTAAAATTATGTCCCCATGTCTTGATAAGTACATATATGAAGAATCTTTAAAACATTTTTTCTTCACAAAATCTTCAAATTAGGGCTGGTGATGGAGCAGTGGATAAGACACATGCCTTTGGTGTGAGAGACCGGGCTTCGAATCCGCTGTGAGAAACCAATGTGTCCCTGAGCAAGACACTCAACCCCCAGTTGCTCCAGAGGCCGGCGACCTCTGACACGTAACAATTGTACGTCGCTTTGGATAAAAGTGTCAACTAAATGTATGTAATAATAATGTAATCAATTAACAGATTTTAGAGCCTATCAGTAGCATTTAGATGTTTAACAAATCAAAACCTTGTTGCCACTTTCTTTGTTATTTTGGAAATATCTTCTTAACTGTCCAACCTGTGATTTAGAGTCCAAACGACAACACAGATTTATATATATACATCAATGAGCCATTATCACTTTACTCCAGCTGTCTTTTTTAAATCAGATATTATAGATATTATCATTATGTACAAAGCACTAACAGGACTCACCCTCACCGGGCTGACACTCCCCAACTAGCTCTCATAGGATTAAGTGTTAAAAGTTGAAAAGTGTATTTTCAGGTTTTTTTATTTACAGAATATGATTCAGAAAATGGATCTGTCATTGTACCTTGTGACAGAGTTCCAGCCTTTTCCCTAGTGATATTTCCCGTCTAGCCTACTAGTTTTGACTATTGCCTTGTCTAGCGACCCCGATTCTTGACTTGTGTTTTTGGTACCTTTGCCTGAGTCCATTTCTGCTGTGAATCTGATAGGATTAACACGTAGAACTTCATAAAGTGTAGTGTCATTAAACTGGTAAAAAAATAAATATAAAAATGATTAAGGAGTGGACATAACAGTGCTAATAAAGCACATCAACACCAAAATATGTGTTACAAAACCACTGTTACATCATCAGCGTTTCTACAGCTTATTTTCACTGTTTATTGTTACTTTGGTGCTGGAGTTGATCCCAGCAGCAGACAGGGACATCTCCTAACAAACTTCAAAGATACAGCACATCTCTGTAAACGTGTTATTATCAAACCTTTGATATGCCTTTCAAAACAACGTCAAAGGTTTATAAAGTCTGAGCTTTTGAAGCCTTTTAGCCTTTCAGTCTGAGACAGCACAATAAAAAGGTGCTATACTGCGTCAAAGGCTCTTGAATTAATTTAACAAGAAATCTACAGAAGAAGAAGATGTAACAGAAGAAGAAGACAACTGTGAAGAAGATGAGAATTATGCAGATGAGCTGTTTTGGCCAAAGCAACTATAAAAAGTTGTGCTGGACATGACAAACCAGGAGGGGCTTTGTGTGGAGTGAGATGGATCAAATAGATCTGCAGGCATATTTGGGTCTGGTGATTCTCACTGGTATCGATCACGCGGTTTATCGACCATGATTCCACCAAGAAGTGTAAAACGAGTGCTAATGAGTAGGAATGAAGTTGGCTAAGAAGGTGTAACACAGAATTGGGTGATCATTTAAACTGGATACTTTAAAAAAAGGCACCCCAGACCGGGTTAGTTTTCACCCGAGAGGACAAAGGTGCATGGTCGACAAGAAAACAACACAAAGGTTAAAAGCGGAGAACTGGAAAGGCAAGGCTGACTCAAACTTTTAATGATCTTACATGGAATACACGTAGAAGTGATGGCAGTAATGGAGACTCACAATTACAATTAATATTTTCATCCATCCTCCGAGTGTTTGTGTTGTTTTCTCTGACCCTGTCAACACATATGCAATTTAGGAAAAATGGCTATTATAACTTTTTCAAGTGTTCATATGTGTGAATGTGTTTGTACATGTGTGTTTCAACCTGACCTTGTTCAGTGTGCACTAGGAAAAGCTCCTTCCTGTGACAATTTAAGAGACAAGCAGTTTAGACAATGGACAGAATCCCAATACGACTCAGTAACCAAATTTGTTCCTCACTGCTGACCATGAAATATCACAAATCTCCGTTCAATTGTGATGTCTGCCAAAAAATATGTAAGAAATGTAAGAAATGTATCTTAATGGTTATAATGTCTGTTACAAGTTGTGTGTGCTCTGAAACACTAATTAAATAAAAAACATATGTATCATACTGCATTCAACGAGACCCTCCTGTAATTATTATCTTACTACAATCAACAAAAATGTGTAAGTAAGTAGATCAAATCCCTTTAGTCAATTTTCAGCACTGTGAGGAGGAGTTAATGCAAATCTTGGTCTCTTCCTTCTTTATTTATCTCACTGCACACTGACAGAGACGAAACCACCGACAAGACATGCAACACATTTTCACCATGACTTTAGCTACATGCTTCATGGTTCTGATGCTATCTTTGATTTCTGGTGAATACACACTTCTGCTTCTTTTTAAAGTCAAGATTTCTGTTTGGCTCTGTTCTGATCAGACTGCTTTTCTCTCCAGGTGTTTGCAGTCAGACTCTGACCGAGTCTGAACCAGTGGTGAAGCGGCACGGAGAATCTCACAAACTGACCTGTACTTATGCAGGAATATCAGATAGCGATGCTCATATCAGCTGGATCAGACAAGCTGAAGGAAAAGGACTGGAGTGGGTTGCCTACATTTCTGCTCCGAGTGGAAGCACTAAAGCTTATTCCACATCAGTCCAGAATCGCTTCACCATTTCCAGAGACAACAACGTGGACCAAGTGTATCTGCAGATGAACAGCCTGACAACTGAAGACTCTGCTGTTTATTATTGTGCTCGAGAGCCACAGTGATACAGGAAGCCACAGAGCTGCACACAAACCACTGCAGATGTTACTGTGACAGTCACTGATAGAAAGTGCTGTAAAACCACACGTTGTTGTTTTTTTAAAAACGTGACCTTATTCAGAATATTTGATGTATTTCCCCACAGTGTGGTTCTGTCATAACTTTAACTAAACTGAAACAAAGAGTGGAGCTTATACACCATCAATCAAGTCAAGTCAAGCCAAATTTTATTTATATAGCACCTCTCAAAACCAGGGTTACAAAGTGCTTTACAAGAGATAGCACAAAAACAAAGCAATGAAGACAAAAACAGATCAAAACAACACTTACAGAGATTAAAAGAAACATTAAAAGAGCAGACAATTGCTCAGTAAAAACAGAAACAATAAAATCAAAACAATTCCAAGGCAATATAAATCAAAACTTAATCTTATCTTAAAAAGATAAGTCTTTAGCTGTGACTTAAAACAATCTGAGTTAGCCACTCTGAGGGGCAGACTGACACAGCCTGGGGCCCAGGACAGCAAAAGCACGGTCTCCTTGTGTTTTTAGTTTAGACCGAGGTATAACTAGCAGACCTTGCTCAGAGGACCTGAGGTGCCTGACAAAGTTATAGGGCTTAAGCAGTTCACTTAAATACTGGAGTGCAAGATTATTGTAAGTGCCTTATAGATGAGGAAGGAGATCTTGAATTGGATCCTAAATGTAATCGGAAGCCACTGCAGTGACATCAGAATCTGGGTGATTTGAGAGCGAAGTTTTAGTAATTAATCTTGCAGTAGAGTTTTGAAGTAATTGTAGGCGGGCCACAGCATTTTGGTTCAGGCAGAAGTAGAGAGCGTTACAATAGTCAAGGCAGGATGACACAAAACCATGAACAAACGCCAAGGCGCATATTTTTGCTACATTTATCAGGTGTGTTGAAGAAATATTGTGAGCCAGGTACAGGTGTGAAGAAGTTTCGGAGACTGATGAAGACTTAACATAGCATCGTTTATTGAGGAGATACAGTGCCAGCATACAACATGTGAACACCAAATCTCAAGGATAACATCTTTTGTTCCCTTTTATGTTTCTGTCTTCCCCCCTAGTGCCTTTAGGTGTCTATATTAGGTCACCTTTCACCTAGAATAACTATCCATCTGATGTTTAGATCCAATGCTTTGTCACATTGGAATCTATCACTATCCATGAGTTGTACTCTAATCTGTGGAGCCAGTGAGTTCTTGTAAACATTGTTGTAGGACTCAACCTTTTAAGATTCACAGAGAACACTGATATCTGCTAGCCTGACACGTGAGCTACTGTCTCTAACTAATCAGTCTGTTGTTGTCTCCCTGACAAGGACAAGTACATGTGAGAAATACCTAAAGCTATAATGTCAGAAAACGCTTATGGGGTCAGCTAAATTACTCTAAGATAGACCTGCCTTACCTTTCCCTGTTACATAAAGCCCCTTAAGAAATATTCTCAACAAGGTGCAAAAAGCAGGACTGAGTGACTGCCTTAATGTGTTTATCAGATTTTAGTTGGCTGTCAAAAATTATGCTTACGGTTCATCATATCTTGTTATGAGGCTAAGCAACACACGGAGAATCCCACAAACCTGTACAGGTGAACAGCTTGACGACTGAAGTCTGCTCTTTATTGTGTTTGAAAGCTCAGTGCTCAGCTCAGGAAGCCACAGAGCTGTACACAAACCACTGGAGATTGTGACAGTCACAGACAGAAAGTGCTGGAAAACCACTTTAAACAAGTTGTTTTTTAAAATATGCTCTAATTCTAATTTGCCCTAAACTGAAACAAAGAGTAGCGTTTACACACCATCAGGTTGTAATGAGGCAGAACTCTATCTTTAAGAACAATTACAAAACATGATCTTTGTCTTTCCTCATCCCTCATATCATATAAAATTTGAACATTCATCATTGATTTATTAATCAACTTTATAACAACAATAATTATTGTCATTCAAATTATTATCAATTGTTTATTTTCATTTGAATATATTCAGGGTTCTTCAAGTCCCTCAACAACCTGACAAGATTATGATCATAATAAAAGATGGTTTCCACCAATTAGTGGATTGGTACGATGTTGTATCAATATACTTGAACAAAATTATAAACGCAACACTTGTTTTTTCCCCCATTCATCATCATCTGAACTCAAAGATTTGAGACTCTCTATGTACTCAAAAGGCCTGTTTCTCTCAAATATTGCTCACAAATCTTTCTAAAGCTGTATTAGTGAGCATTTCTCCTTTGCCAAGATAATCTATCCACCTCACAGATTTTGACAGATTTTATAGTTATAGTTATATTTGACAGTTATTTTATTCTTACCAACTGCCGAGGACACAGGTCCCCTGACTCTCCAGTGCAGGAAACTGTGTTTGGTTTTTTCATTAATATCAGTAACATATCAGCCCCATTGAACTGGTCAATTTCATCCTCTTCTTACAACTCACTGTCAGACTGTGAATTGTCAGAAAGCCCCTCTGATCAAATATCCTTTTCATCAATTTCATCGACTGCGATGCAGAGCCACACAGGATGATTTAATGTGTTCCGCCGCCACTTTGCAGGTGAGAGAACATATAGTAGGGTTCCTGCAAGACAGAGGGCGAAATGTGCAGGAATGTCCTTGAAATGTAAAAATGTTGCAACCTTGTGTGAATAGTAGGGAGATGACAGAGTGAAGGGACACAGCACCTGCAAACTTTTTTTTTTTTACAGGTCTAACGTTAAAGTGTAGGGGATTGTACAGTGTGAAGTAATTGCAAATGCGTTATTTTTTGTTCTTCACAGAAAATAGAATCAGCTGTCTGAGGTTGAAATAATAATAAATTGCATCATGTTTCTTTTGGTAAACATTGATAACAGGTCCCACAGACCCAAACAGCACACACAGGTCAAAGAAATGATTAAGAATCTACACACCAGGATTTCTGTATATTTCATGCACTTAATGAGCTTTTAACATTTTTTTGTTTGTTTTTTACGAGCAGTGAGTGGAGATGCAGCACTGTGATGCTGCTTTTGACATCAAGGGTATTGGGACTGAAGGTGCAGTAACTTAAGGTAAGACACATTTAAATGATCTATTATTATATTTATTGACTAATTTATTGGTATTTTATGAATGTGATTATTGGTGGTAGAGAAGTTTAACTCATGGTCTTATTTAGCTTTATACTGATGTTGGACAAACTAGAAAACAACAGACAGATGTTTTTAATGCAGCAACAAAATAAATTAATATTTAATTATTAAATGAAATTACAAAACACAGAGTAGCTTCAACAGTAATATATAAATACAGGGTCAGTATGTGTTTTAATTTAACAACTGAACAAAGACATAATGAAGTGCATTTGTATATGTATGTAGTAGGCTATATAGTAAATTTTTTACTTTAAATATTTCTTTTGAAATACCACAGGGGCAACTTTAAAGAACTGTATGCATTTGCACTGTAAGCTTTAAGAGGAATCATTTCACATCAACTGATCTGTAATTCTTCCCAACAAGGTGGTGAAGTATACCAAGGTGTGGAGTGTGTGAAGTGAGTTTGGTTTTTATTGGGATAAATCTTGTCAAGACAGGAGGAGAGTGCGTCGTTGTAGGTGTATACCAGGTCAGTGGGGTTCTCTTGAGGAAGAAATATTCTACACTTGCGCCCGAGATAAGGTTTGGCTGTCTACTAAGGACATTCTTTTGAAGACAGATTCTAAGACATTGTCACACCATTTTATAGGACGTTTTGTCACTGAAAGAGTCATCGACCCAACCGTAGTCAGACTGTTTGGCCAGTTCTCTCTGGATTCTGGTGGACTGGGAGGGATACGGGCCAGAGGAGAAGAGTTGGGTGCCCTGATCTTGTAGTGACACCTGTGGCCTGTACTGGTTGTACTCAGAGTTAACTCAGGGTTATCTCTAAACTTCGACCGCCTACACTGGAGTTAAACGGTATTACGAAGGTGGATAAGATGTTGGTAAGTTGAGTATGTGTTAACCCGGTGTTAACTTAATTGGAGTTCGTGCGTGTTCACATAAAACGGGTGTGTTCGGCCGTGCAGGCACAGTTTTTCGCAACGGCGCATGCACTGTATTTCTCCAGAGGAATGCACATTGGTAGTGTCAGGAAATTATGAATGTAAAGACAAGTTAACAGATAAATCTAATATCATGGCAGACGACAAAGCCAGGGAGGCTTGTTGGCATTGAGTAAATTTGTAGCCTAATTATCTTCACAGTGTTCTTATTGTAGATCAAATCTCTATTTTGTGTTTTATGGGCTCTTCTTTTATGTGTTATTTGATGTAAAGGTACAACTGCACATGAAGTCCATTGTAATGGAAAATAAGGAGCCAGTGGAGGGGTAGTCCTAATAATCCGAGAGAAAATTTAATTTAATCTAGCCTACAAGTAAAAAACTTGAATATTCACTGACATTATAGTCGCACATTAATGAGAGAAACTTCACTTTGCAAGGCTGCAAATTCACACACATGTCTGTCGTGTATTATGCATGCACTGGAAAGTTATATTAAACTTTGCATTCGGATTTAGCAGTGAGGAAAGACTCCTGAGTTTAGCCCACAATCACTATCATGCACCTTAGAGACTTTGCCTTGGATTGGGCGTATTCAGAAGAAGTGATTTTCGATTTTTTTTATTACATTAATTTCAGGAAATTTCAGATTTTTTTTCTTGTAAATTTCCTACTTTAATCTAGTTTTTTTTTTTTCTTGGTTATGTAGCAGACCTAAATTTTATAGTTATGCATTTTAATAAATTTATGTGAATTGATACCCAATTATGAATTCATAATTGTAGATTCATAAAATCAAAATTTTCCTCGTTAAGGGCACCACCGGAGTTGTTATAATCCTAGAGTCTCCGGACCTCTAGGTAGTTTTAATGATTATACAATTATTACTAGTGATCAGTTAATAATCACTCAATTATCTTAAATCAGTCAGTCAGTCTCATATCTAAAGGGT